CAGTAGATCATACGCCACTTTTACCAACTCCACCAGCTCACCACAGGATACAAACAGAAGGCGAAGCACAAAAACTCCTCAAAAGGACTGGAGTAAGTTTCGAATCCCAAATCCTCCTAAAATTGACTTACAGTTATTTTCTAGAGAACATCCTAGGGATTGGTTGAGGAAATGTAATAAATACTTCTTGAATTATCAAGTTCCAAACGAGCATAAAGTTGAAATCATTGAAATGTACTTGGAAGGCAAAGTTGACAAATGGTTTCAAGGTGTAAAAATTGAGAGGCCTAGACTAAATTGGGAGGAATTTGAAGATCTGTTATGTAGGAGGTTTAATGATAGAACGTGTAAGGATATAGTGGAGGAATTCAATAAACTACAGCAAGTAGGCAGTATTGATGACTATCAGGAGAGATTTGAGAAATTGAAATATCTGATGATGATCAAAAATAGAAACCTAGATGAAAACTATTTCATTTCTAGTTTTATAAGTGGACTTAAGGAAGAAATTAAGCCTGTGGTCAGGATGTTGATGCCTACTACACTATCTGAAGCCTTTGAGTTGTCTCAATGGCAAGAACAAGCTATAAGAATCCAGGGCAAAAGGCCTAAGGAGAACACTAGGTCATTGGGACAAAACAGATTTCGCAAAACCAGGAGTACTACTACTTCTGTGGGAACAAATTCTTATAATGTCCCTGCCATTAATAATTTTAAGCACTCTAAGTTCAAGAGTTCTCCAGGGGATACCAGAGAGCCAAAAAGGATATCTGCTCAGGAGTTACAGTATAGGAGGAGTAATGGTTTGTGTTTCAGATGTGGAGAGAAGTATGGGGTAGGACATCAGTGCAAAGTGGGGTACTCAAATTGCATGATATTGGAAGAAGAAGAAGATGTTGCATTTGAGGATGCATTTGGAGAACAAGATGAGCAGACTGGGAATCCTGGACAGACCATGGAGATGTCACTGCATGCCTTATCTGAGACTCTAAAAAGGAAAACTATTACACTCATAGGCATCCTGGATGGAGAGGAAGTATTGATATTGGTAGACACTGGAAGCTCAGACAGCTATATTAGTAGTGAGCTATCAGTGGGTGGATCAACCTTTTTCTGTCATCATGGGAAATTGATCAAGTGTCACCAGCAATGCTATATGCAAAAGGGTGAACTGGAGGATTAATCAACACAACTTCAGGTATGACCTCAAAGTGATGGAACTTGGAGGTTGGGACATAATCCTAGGAGTGGACTGGATGACACACTTCAGTCCCATCACATTCGACTTCCAACAGCTCAGGATATCTCTGCACCATGAGAGAGATGAAATCCACTTACATGGCCAAGCAGATAACTGTGATATGGGACTTGATCAGAGGCAAAGACTTAAGAACATTTATAGAGTACAAGAGGCAGATGTGTATGGCTATGAGTGGCAAACAGGATAAGGACAGAGAGGGGGAATTAGAACCTACACCCCAGGAGGTAGAGGCTCTGCTACAAGAGTATAAGGATGTATTCCAGACTCCTAACTCACTGCCTCCAAGTAGGAGCGTGGATCATGAGATACCTCTCAAACCAGAGGCTCAGCCCTTCAAACTGAAGCCTTACAGGTATCCTCATTACCACAAGGAGGAGATAGAGAGGCAGGTTGCTGAAATGTTGCAGAAAGGCATTGTTAAGCATAGTAACAGTCTTTTTGCCTCCCCAGTGCTGCTAGTCAAGAAGAAGAAAGGCACCTGGAGATTTTGTGTGGACTATAGAAAGCTGAATGAGATCACTGTCAAGGACAGATTTCCAATACCCAATGTAGATGAATTGTTGGATGAGTTATCAGGAGCTGTGTTTAAAACCAAGTTGGATTTGACTGCAGGGTATCACCAAATCAGAGTGAAGCCGCAGGACAGCTTTAAAACAGCCTTCCAAACTCATTGTGGTCATTTTGAGTTCTTGGTAATGCCTTTTGGCCTTACCAATGCCCCTGCAACTTTTCAGTCATTAATGAATCAGGTGTTCCAACCTTACCTGAGGAAGTTTGTCTTAGTATTCTTTGATGATATCCTGGTCTACAGTGCCACACTGGAAGATCATGTTCATCATCTAAGAATTGTGCTGGAACTTCTGAGAGGACATCAACTATATGTGAAGAAATCCAAGTGTGCATTTGCTCAGAAACAAGTTGACTACCTGGGTCACACTATTACTAATAAGGGGGTCAGTATGGATAATTCTAAGGTCCAGAGCATCTCACAATGGCCAGTACCAAGATCTGTCAAGGAATTGAGGGGGTTTTTAGGACTTACTGGCTACTATAGGAGGTTTATTAAACAATATGGACTGGTATGCAAACCACTGACTGAGCTTCTTAGAAAGGATAATTTTAAGTGGAACCCCCAAGCACAAACTGCATTTGATCTGCTTAAGGAGCTCATGTGCTCAGCTCCTGTTCTTAAGTTACCAGACTTCAAGCAGGCCTTTGTGATAGAAACAAATGCCAGTGAAGGGGGCATTGGAGCAGTTCTGATGCAGGAAGGACACCCCATAGCCTTCCTAAGCAAGGCACTGTCAGCACGGAACCTAGGCTTATCAGTCTATGAGAAAGAGCTACTTGCCTTGGTAATGGTAGTTACCAAGTGGAGGCATTATTTGGTTGGCAATCACTTCATTATCAGGACTGACCACCAGTCCTTAAAGTACCTACTGGATCAGAAGCTGAACACTGCACTTCAGCACAAATGGATGACCAAGTTGATGGGATTAGATTATGAGATACAGCACAAGAAAGGTACTGAGAATCAAGTAGCAGATGCACTATCAAGGAGACCTGATCATGACCACAGCTTCCCACTTCACTCCTGACTCGCCATCACTACTGTTAGACCTGGATGGATTGAAGAATTACAGAAGAGCTATGAGACTGATAACCAGTGTTAGGATATCATAGCTCAGTTATCACTGGATTCCACCTCACACTCTAACTACACTTGGGTTGATGGAGTACTTAGATATCAAGGCAAGATCTATATTGGAAATTCCAGTGACATTAGAAGACAGGTCATTCAGGTTCTACATGCTTCAGCCTTAGGGGAACATTCAGGTCAGAGAAATTGTTGGCAGAAGGTAAAGAGTTTGTTCTACTGGCCAGGAATGAAGGAAGAGGTGGTGGCATTCATACAGAACTGTGACGTATGCCAGAGGAATAAATCTGAGCATGTTCCCTACCCTGGACTGCTGCAGCCAATCACCATTCCTAAATAAGCCTAGTCTCGTATGTCTATGGATTTTATTGAGAAATTACCCATATCATAGGGTTATGATACCATATTGGTAGTCATTGACAGGTTCACAAAGTTTGGCCACTTTATTATGCTTACTCATCCCTTCACAGCTAAGACAGGAGCTCAAAGTTTCCAGTTTCCTGGACAACATATACAGACTGCATGGTCTGCCAGAATCCATCATTACTGACAGAGATAGGATCTTTACTAGTGGCTTTTGGAGGGAGCTATTCAAGGTGATGGGAACAAAACTGCATTATTCATCATCCTATCATCCCCAATCTGATGGACAAAATGAACGACTGAACCAGTGTGTGGAAAATTACCTAAGGTGCATGGTTGGGGAAATGCCTTCTCAGTGGAGCAAGTGGGTAGCAATGGCTGAGTGGTGGTACAACTCTACTTACCATTCCAGTCTTAAAATGACTCCATTTGAGGCATTGTTTGGATACAAACCAGTACCCCTACCTCTAGGTCCTTACTTGGAATCAGTGGTACTTGCAGCTTCTGACATGATCCAGGAGAGGAACAGGATTGCCAACTGCATCAAGGATAACTTAGTCAAAGCTCAACAAAGAATGAAGTATTTTGCTAACCAACACAGGACTGAAAGGGAGTTTGCTGTGGGCGATTGGGTGTTTCTGAAGCTGCAACCATACAGACAACAAACTATTGCAGTCAGGAAGTGCCTCAAGCTGTCTGCCAAGTATTTTGGTCCCTTCCAGGTAGAGGAGAAGATTGGCTCAGTAGCCTACAAGTTGAAGTTACCTGCAGGCACCAAATTGCACCATGTGTTCCATGTGTCATTGCTCAAGAAGAAGTTGGGGCCACTATAGAACAGTTCAACCAAGGTGCCAGAATTAGACACTCAAGATCAATGTCCTCTGCAACCAGATATCATCTTGAAGAGGAGGGTCATTTTGCGAGGAGGATAGCCTGTTGTACAATTTTTGATCAAATGGGATCAACTGGACTATGAAAAAGCTTCATGGGAGGACAAGTTTTTTATTGAACACCAGTTTCCTACGTTCCAGACTTGAGGACAAGTCTGATCTTAAGCGGAGGGAATTGTTAGGACATGAATTAGTTGTAATAAATGCTCAAATTGGGCATAAATCAATTGAAGTCAAGCGATGTCGTCTGGGTTAGTAGTTAGTTAGTCGGTTAATTAGCAATTTACAGGTTGTTAGAATTGGTTATAAAAGGGGCCCACACATGTGAAGAAGACAGTTTTGAGTAATAACAAATTCCATCTCATTTTCCTCTGATTCTCTCTCTTTCTTTTCACTTCCTCTGATTCCCTTTTTCTCCTTTTTCCCAGTTCGTCCCCACATTCAATTCTAATCAGTAACTCAGATTCAAGCCATTGCGCTTGAGTTCCTGACATCGTCACGTCACCAACACCCCACCCTCACTCGAACTTGATGAACACCGGAGTCGAACCTTTGACTAAACTACGAGCAAGTTCTAGTCAAATAGCTTAACTAAATTATACACCTAGACTTGGCAAAATAAAATTTGCTACATGGCTCAAAATTTTTTACTTAACAGGGTAGTATTTAATTGCTGTGAAAAAAATAACTTTTGTATGTTCAAATATGACTACTATCAAGTTTATCTTAATCAAGGGTTGCAATAATAACAACAATATCATGATCGTTCATAATCAACAAATATCATCCCATTCGCCTTTTACAAAATAGCCTCTCTCTTTTTTTTCTTTTTTTTAAAAAAAAGGGGTTTGGGCATTGCCAGGCTTTTGACTGAGCTTTAGTATCCGACACTGCGACGACGTCGTAATTGAGAAAGCAAGCGCAATTGCCTGAATTTACCTCAGAAAATAATTTTCAACAACCGAACTTCAGAATTTGCCTGAAAAATCCCAGTAATTAGTTCATTTGAGACCGGAAGACGATGGGGATGATGATGATGAAGACGACGACGATGCAGAGAAGAGCTTCTTCTGCGGTGATTGTTTCCATTGCTCGGTCTCAGGGAGCAGCGGCTTCATTAGGTACTCCTGCTCCTGCAGGTTGTACTACTCTTGCATCATTCCTCTCTGCATTCCCAAACCATAAACCCCATTTGGCTTTTTGTTCTGCTATTAGTAGTAAATTTAAGAGTTCTTCTGAAAAAGCTCTGAAATTTCAACCTGAATTAAGGAATGATATTAATAATGTCAACAGTCTTGATGATGCTTTGAGCTTGTTCGAGCGGATGGCTCGGATGAGGCCTCTGCCTTCCGTTATTGATTTCACTCAATTGCTGGACCGTATTGTTAAGATGAAGAAGCATTATTCTTCAGTTGTTTCCCTTTTTAGAGATATGTGTGTCAAGGGCATTCCTGTAAATGAGTACACCCTTACTATGGTGATTAATTGTTACTGCGTTGTGGGCCGAGTGGATCTAGCTTTTTCTACATTGGCTGGCTTCTTCAAACGTGGTTTTGTTCCCGATGTAGTCACCTTTGGCACTTTGCTTAAGGGACTTTTTCGAGAACAAAAGGTTCCTCAGGCACAAGAATTGTTCAAAAAGATAATCAAGGAAAAACTTTGTAAACCCAATGAAACTATGTTGGGGATTGTGATAGATGGGATCTGTAAGGCAGGAAACACTCAAACAGCCATTGAATTCCTCAGAGCAATGGAAAAACGAGGAAGCCCTTGTAAACCTACTGCAATTATTTACAATACTGTCATTGACAGCTTGTGCAAGGATAAAATGGTTGATGAAGCTCTTGCCTTCTTACAGGAGATGATTGAAAAGGACATTCCCCCGAATGTTGTCACTTACAGTTGTTTGATTCAGGGTCTGTGCAGCTTAAGCAGATGGAAGGATGTTGACAAGCTCTTTGCTGAGATGAAGGTTTATAAAATTGTTCCAAATGTTATTACTTTTAGTATAGTGGTGGATGCACTATGTAAGGAAGGGCATATAGAAGATGCTGAAGAGGTAGTCCAGATCATGATCCAGCAAGGTCAAAATCCCGACCTGGTCACATACAGTTCCTTAATGGATGGGTACTGTTTACAGAGTCGAATAGATGACGCAAGTAGAGTTTTCAATGCCATGGTTGCTAGCGGCCTTACACCCGATCTCCATTGCTATGGTATTCTAATAAATGCCTATTACAAGACCAAGAAAGTGAAAGCAGCCATGACGCTCTTTCAAGAGATTCCACATAAAGGTTTAACACCTAATATTGTTATTTATAACACTGTGTTGCAGGGGTTATTTAGTTCAGGAAGGTATCTTAGTGCACGAGAAATTTTCAATGAGATGCAAGCTTCTGGCATGAAGCCTGATTTTCACACTTACTGTGTGGTACTGGCTGGATTATGCAAGACTGGACATGTCGACGAAGCATTGGAGTTATTCCATGCAACCGAAGCCGATGGAACAGATCTTCACATTGAAATGTACAATATCATGCTTGATGGGTTGTGCAAATGCAGGAGGCTCGATGGTGCCCGGGATCTTTTCAAAAATCTCTCCCTTAAAGGATTGGACCCTAATGTCATAACATACAACACCATGATTGCTGGCCTGCTTTCAGAAGGTCTGCTCATCGAAGCTAAAGAGCTCATTGGAAAAATGGAAGAGAAGGGTTGCTTGGCAGATAGTGTTACATACAATGTCATTCTGCAAGGACTCCTTATGGGAGGTCATTATGATGATGCAGTGGTCTATTATGAAGAAATGGTTCATAGAGGATTCTTGCTGGATGCATCTACGTTTTCCATTTTACTTGATTTATCTGCTGAGAATCAGAACAATCTTTCTGTGCTAATGTTGATGCTGAAGATTGATCCCAATAGCAAGAGGTTCATGGATGGGGGACAAAGAGGACCTTCACATTAGTTGTAACATGTTGGTCCTGCAGTTTTTTGGCCCCTGATGTTTAATTTGCTGGTAGGAATGGTACTAAGGTTCACATTTGATCCTTTTATCACTTATCATCTTTGTTTAGAGGAGGTCTCTTGGTGACATTCTGCAAGGACTCCTTAAGGGAGGTCATTATGATGATGCAATGGTCTATCATGAAGAAATGGTTCATAGAGGATTCTTGCTGGATGCATCTACATTTTCACATTTTACTTGATTTATCTGCTGAGAATCAGAACAATCTTTCTGTGCTAATGTTGATGCTGAAGATTTACCCTAATAGCAAGAAGTTCATGGATGGGGGACAAAGAGGACCTTCACATTAGTTGTAACATGTTGGTCCTGCAGTTTTTTGGCCCCTAAACTTTAATTTGTTGGAACTAATGTTTGGATCCTGTTGTCACTTATCATCTTTGATGCAATTGAACCATAGAGGAGATCTGTTGGTCATATTTTGTTAAACACCTCAAAGATCTCCAGTTTGGTGGTGAAGCCACTTTGCTTAGGGAAGTTCAATTGATAAGTGTTGCAGATCAAAGAAATCTGCTGCCATTAATTGGATTTGTACCACTTCTTATGGGCGACCTCTTGTCGATCTTTCCATGGAGAACCTTATTGTGGCATATCACTTAAGTGGTAACTTGTACAGGTTATTTTTTCTTCGTTTTTCATGGGTGTTGGAACTTTAGCTTGCCTGTAAATTTTGCTTTGGATAACTAATATTTTAATTTATTGTAAATAAGAAATGAAATGTCATATGCAAATATAGTTTGTGACTTTGGATTTCTGGAAAAGTTTTAAGCTGCATTTCTGCAATTTCAAGAAATTGTTTTGTAAGATAAAATTGTTACTTTTATTTTGATTCTTAAGTGGTGCCAAAGTTGCAGCCAGTTTATAAGTGTAAAAACTTTCTAGACCAGTTTCTTGCTTTGGATTCATAGTTTGAGATCCCTAGGATAGTCATGGTTATTGATTTTTTTTTTCACTGCATTTGACTGTACCCAAACTCTTTAAGCATGATCCAGAAAAAAGTGTTCTGATCACTTCCCCTTTAATTGTCAATGCTATACTAAATTGTATAGACATTCAGTAGGAGTGTGGCAAAAATATCGTTCTCTTGCAATAACTTGGAATAGTTCATCCAAGAAACTCTCCGTTTTTTGACAATATACTTGATTATGGGATTCTTTAATTTTAGTACTTAGTTGTTTATAAGTTAAAATAATAATTAAAGAATAGGTTTTTATTGCACAACTGCTATTAGGTCACCATCTGCAATAGTTTTAAAAAAAAAACTTACTGGCACATCACAATGGTAATAATATACTTTTCTAGTCTTCCAAGCTTCGTATCTATCATTTTTTTTAAAATTGTTGTTCTTTTTTGGCAGAGCAGGAGAGCAGTGGAATTTGTATAGCAGAGTGTGAAGATTTGACCTCAGCTTAGACTGGATAGAGACAATTAATTAGGTATTAAAATGTATGGAAATAGTTATGATGAATTTTATATGAAAGGATTCGGTTAAAGTGATTAAGACTAATTTTTTAAATTACTCTAGCAAACAAATTTTATTGCTTTATAATTATGTTTTAGCTAAATATCTTATGCTGAAGAATGATGGATTATATCTATTGGCTGTGGAAGAAGTAAACTGTCTAGTGACCTATAAACAATGTTGAGAAGTGATCTTTTATTGATTTGCCATATAGTTCTTTTGTGTAGATTTTGTTTGCATGATTTTGATACTGCATGTACTATTTAGCGATGGGGTCATGCGTTGCAAAGAGAATGATGGTCACATGTTTTTGGATGCTGTTCAGAAAATTAAATCTCCTTGCTCATGTTGAAAATCTATTTTTGTGTCCTAAGGTGGATTTCAACCAGGCCTCGTAGAAATGTTTCCAGAATGAAATTAAGATATACGTTCTGAGTTAGTATTATTCCAAATTTAGCTGAAGTTTAGCTTAGACAGTGTTATTCTTCCACACTGTCTTCACGTGCATGGCTAAGATGCCATTGACTTTGTGCTAGTTTAAAAATCCATTTAGCACATTCGATTTAAAAAAAAAAAAAAAAAACTAGCGGAATACTCCCACTTCTCAATCTGAATGTCGAACTTCAGCAAAACTAGGACTATGGCTTACATTTTTTTGGATCTACTCTATCATGCAGTCTCGTTAAGGCAGAATACTCCCACTTCTCAATATGAATGTCGAACTCCAGCAAAACTAGGACTAGGCCTTATACTTTTTTGGATCTAATCTATCATGCAGGCTTGTTAAGAATGTAAGATATAGTTAGAGGTTAAAATCAAGTTTATTCAATTTTACAGAGAATGTGATTTCAATTGAAGTTATTAATATTTAATCGCTATATTTCATGATTGAGATATAGTACTTATCGAGGAAAAGCTATACAGGTGCCCTATTTTGACTCAAAGTCCATTAATTGCTATCTTACCATTCTCAGATGGATGAGTATAAACTGCAAAAATTACTTCAAACCACACCCTATATAACATCCGTTCAAATAGAGTTGAAAGAAAATTAAGGACAAGTCTTGATTTTAATTTGTTTTATTTTATTTCTTGGTGACAAACATTTAACGGCAAGTCTTGCATTGAAGTTTTATGAATATGCAAGTGAACATGCAAGAGAACAGTCTAAAAATTACTTGCTGTGCTTTGTCTTTTTCTAAATCTTTGCTGTTTTACAATGGACCAAAATCATGTTTATCGAAAAAATTTTGCAGTCCTACTGACAACTTAGTTATCTTTTCTAATAGCTTTAGGGGAGGATTCCCAATTTTGTTCAACAATATCCAATTGTAAGATGGAAAACCTAATCTTGTTTCTGAATGTGGGAAAATAGTTTGTGATAAAAGTATTCTATAAATGGGATTTTTCTAGTAGCATCTAGTCTATGTAGCTGGTTTAGTTTCCAAAGAATTTCATCACAATATTCTTTCTTACAGTATGCAGTAAATTTGAATTATTTACTGAAAAGATACTCAGCATGGAATGAAGATGCTGAATTTGTATCTTGAATACTAGTAACCATTGTTTGTTAGTCATAAAATTTGTTTGATAAGGTCTTATTGGTCACTGAGGTGGAAATGAGATTTTTTTTTTGGTTTTTGCTAGTCATTATTGGGCATGATCTGCAGTTATATGAATGACCTTTCAGTAATTGTAAATAATCTATTTGTGCCTGTGATCTATCCATTTGGCTTATTTGTCAAAGTTTTACACCATAGTTCTTGTGTCAAACTGCTATCAGGACACTTGTGTGATTGCAAACTAATCTTTGTCTTTGGCTGACTTCGTTTCTTCCTTAATCAGTTAGTAGGTCTAGTTTCTTGAGTTGGTTGTCTCTAATTTCAATTCTAATTAGAAAGTTTCTTGTAGCGTTTGATTCAGTTGTCTTGCACCCCTACTCTTGTGACTTACTGCTTATATCTACCACGGCTGCTGCAATTTTGTTCAAGAGGAGAGTGTACAAGAGAGAACCTCCATGGCTTGCACTGAGTTGCATTTCAAGGATACCCCAATCTAGATGGTCATTCTTATAACATCCAATCCAAAGCCAACATTAATTTAAAAGAGCTTTGTCCTGCCATCAATTGAATTGAGATCGTGGACCAAACCATTTGGGAATTGGATTTGAATTTCGTTGGATGTTGAACCAAGTTCATCTGAATCAGAGCCGGAATGATATGCAATGCCTTTCCTAAGACTTTGTGCCATCCTATGATTTATCCTCAATAGTGCCACCAATATCACTGGAAACTTCTCCCAATTGCCAAATTTTCTGCTTGATTGGGTTTTCTCAAAATTGCAACTCAATTTTATTATTTTTGCTGTATGCTGACTTATGTTTATTTTGATGTAGTAGCCTGAACTTGTGTTTTTTCTCTGCTTGTATGCCGCTGTATTTTAACTTCCTTCCTCCGGTGGCCCTGGTATGGCATCTTATTTCTCCTTCATCCGGTGGCCTTATTTTACAGGTTTGACCTTGCCAATTAGATTTAATTACTTAAAGTGGAAGTCCAGAGTATTATGCCTTTGAAATTACTTGGCATAGGGTTTTCTGCTATGGTATTTAGTCCCAATGTTAACTTTCTTCCTTTCAGCTTTTAGTTCTCCAAAAGGATATGTGGCTGTATTGTAGAGTGTATCAAGTACCATTTAGTAGTTTATCTCTTTGGCAATTTTGAGTTCACGGATCATTTTGACCTTGATCTTCTACTTTTGAGGAATAAACATCTTCTGCAAATAAATTAGCACCTCTGGCCACCTAACCAAAAAAGCTTGTGGCTCTGCCTGTTTGGTCTGTTGGTCAGGACACCCTGGATCTGTTCTGGTTTTGTCTTTCTATAAACAACCGGAGAATCATCAAATGTTTAGTATAGCACACTCTTAATCACTTTTAGCACTGCAGTAGTACTCTCTAAGTTCTTGTAAAGTTGACAAAAGCTAATTATTGGTATATGATTTGTGTCCTTTATAAATACTATGCCAGCTTAGCTCCAAGAAAGCCCATAGAGAATGCTTTTCCACAGAAACTCATTAAACTTCACACTAGCATAAAGCAACTCTTCTGATCATGTCTCTAGCTCTAAGGTTGTTTTATCTCTCATTTAGCTGTTCAGAAGATTTGTCAGGCATAATTGTCAATTTGTCATCTATTAGATGGATGACTAGCTAAGACTTCCTGTGAATTATAAAATGTACTATAAAGAGATCGGAATCGTAAAATTAAAAAAATTGATGAAAGTATTGGGTGAAAAAATTTTGTTGAGGGACTCCCCTTGTATCTTTTCCTAATAAGATGGTCTCAGTTGATGCTGAGTAACTTCTTGCAGTTTTGGGGAAATAAATATGTTTAAATCGGTCAATAAGTTACTCATGGTTGGAGTCTACTATAATTTTCAAGTTAAATAGCTGAAAGAGATCAGAATCGGTCAATAAGTTGCCCTTCATATTGTTTAGGTATGGATGTTTACTCCTAACCATGTTAGAGTTTTTAAGCTTGAGAAAGGTTAATTTCATAGGCAGACTGCTCAAGATAATATATTGAATTGCTAGTTTTTCAAGTAGTTAATCGTCGAAAGAAAAAATATTTGTTCCTTAACCTCCTTGTTTTATGATAAGCTTCATTTTGCATCACAGTTATAAATCCCAACAAACCAGCAGTGGTATGAGATGCTAAAACAACAGCAACTCGTGTACCATAATTGTCAAGGTAGAAACACTGTCCCTGGTCTTGTGATTTCAGTCTGATGTAGTAGTCCAGTTAATTCTACATCGTCTGCTCAATTGCCAGAAGTTTTGTTCATCAAAGATCACTAGCTGATTTGAGACTTTAGATGAGCTTGATATCTGTTGTATTGGCTCAAATATGGCAATGTTAGATGGCTGTTAGCTTGACTACCTTACTGAGTGCAAAACATGCATTACCACACAAGATGGAATTGCTTAAATGCTTTAGTTTGTGATTCTAGCTGTTGTTTGTGTCCATCTGCAGTGGCATCTTATGTTCAATAATTCTCTCTTATCAGATGCCATCAATTAATCAAGAAACTGGAATCGCAAACCCCGAGCCAACTGAGACTGCCAAGAGTTCCTTTCAATCAAGTATTGCACCTGAGTAAAAAACCATAGGGCTCATATGTTAAAAAAAAGTTGCAAAATCTTTGACTATGATCTATCATCTTCCTCAATGGCATATGGACCGTGAGAAGTTGAATATTACTGGTATCATTTGGATAAAACAAGACTTGCGCCGACCATACAGGCAATGAAAAAGATGGCAACAATGGGGAATCCTGTTTATGTTCCTAAGGTGTTTTCCTCTGGTGCCGATGCTGCCATTTGCAGGCTCTTATTCTTGCCATTGCGCAATAATCTGCCGTACGACAAACGAAGAACCAAATAAATAAGTTCAATTCATGTATAACTTCCCCTGTTAAAAGGGAAATGGAAATGATTTTCATCTTAATGAACCATCTCTCCATAGACACCTGCCACTTTCTTAACTCCTCTGTTGGATGCCACGGCAAAGGTGGTCTGGCAATGAACGAAACAAGTATAATGACTATAATGTGGTGATCCTGAATTCAGCCTAAGCTCGTTCTGTATATAATGCCGTGAGAACATAACACTAGAGTTTGCTCAAACACTAATATGTGCAATGAAACGCCAATCAAAGGTTCAAGCATTACTTGAACTTGTTTAGGGACACAAGCCTAAAATTCTTAGATAACTGTGTAAAGGCTATTACCTTAAAGCTATTAAAATCTAAAACCTGCCATAATTGATAAATTCATTTAAAGAAGTCAGAAAACCAGGGCGGAAAGACCGCTGCAGATTAGCTTGGGATTCCTATTCAAATCAAACGGAGTTTGTGCCAGCTTTGGGAAGCGACAAGGCAACTATTTATGGTGTCCAGGCCATCTTTGGAAATGATAGCAAGCTCCAGTTAGACGTCTGCCCAATCACTCAATTGGAAGTCAAATTTAGACCAAAATACAGTTTCAGCTGAGTTGTATACATCTAATTGCTGGCAAGATCTCAAATCCTCTACGATTAAGATAAGCAACATTCACACACTTAAAACGGGGTCTTTGTCATGGCAACTGTGAAACAAATCAAAATAATTCTGGGCAACACTGCTTGATGCAAACGAATTGCCGCTCACAGATCTTGCACACTCAAACCTGCAATAATTGAAAGAGTACGTAAGAAACTCCAGCAATGTTTCATAAAACAACAATATCAACTACATCACATGGACCAGAAGTCTATGCATAGAACACTTGCAAACTAAAGCCGCTAGCCAATTTCCTATCCATTCGGTTTTTGGTCATAAATGGTTAACATTCATGCCAGAACACCCAACTTAAAGTTTCAAACTCAGCAACAAAGACATGAACTTAAATAATTAAGCATACTAGTTTGAGAATGCAGAGGGAAACGAAAAGGTATAGCACAATAACTTGGGACTTAAAAGAATCTACTTAAACCAGAGTCTACTGGTTCTATATGACTACTACAGCATCAACCATGACAGAATAAAGTTAAGATATACATGCAATCCAGCTTGGACTGCACTAAACATTTTATGCTTTGCTATGCTGCCTTCAATACAGTAGAGATTTTTTGCAGAGAAAATACTACTACAGGTCACTTGAACTATGCAGGTAAATGGTGTAAAAACAGTAATCACCAACCTGGGGGAAGTGATTGCTTCAACTTATCAGCCTTCTCAGAGTCAAAGACACAGAGTGTGTACAGATACTTAGAGCAGCGCACCTTGAACTTCACCACATCTTTGCTCCTCTTTATCTTCACTGACCGTGCATCCTTCCTTCTAGCTGTTAGAAGAAAATCCTTGATCTCGTGTATTTGCTTAGGCTAAGATCATAAATCCAAACAAACATCAATAAAAAAAATATGACCAAGTTTAATTTTAACCTTGAATGTAATATATAAAGCAAAAGCTATTGCACCATAAAGAAAGAAAAAGTAAAGACTGCAATTCTCTCCAGCCAGTTTTCTATATTATTAACTTTATCTTTATGAGAAGCCTTTTCAGTTCTATTGCTTTCGGCTTCCTTCCAAAGAATCGTTGTAAAATTACCAGAAGATACCACCAATTCTGAACCGGGTCATAGTCTAACAATAAAGATAAGACAAAGTCTGAGCTGACAAAATCAATACAAACAACACTAGTCCACCATCATTCAAAGTCTAGAAGGAAATACAATTCACCCATTGAATACAGAAAATATACCTAGATGTTTGCCTATTGGGGAAAAATCCTACTGAACTTGTCATATTTTGGCGTTAACTCAGTCTGACATGATTCAAACTCAAACATTTTATAGGACAAATCCCTCCCCCTTCCTCCTCCCAAAAGAAAACCTTGAGCTCACCAAGCTAACAGGAATGCAATTGCAAAAAAAAATTTTATGTCAGTCCAGAACAACTGCTAACCGAACAACTACAGTCACGGTTAGTAGTTGTTTCAAAAAGCTCCATGAGGACCCCGCTTAATATGCGAATTAGCAAGTGGGGTCATTTATATGTCCACATGGAGCTGGTCCTGGAGCAATTCCTAGGCTCCGGACCAACATAAAACTCCTCCAATTGCAAAATAAGAATCTCTCTCCCAGCAAGATAATTCCTCAGAAAGCTCCAGCAATTGCTGCTCATAACACTTCACTAAAAATCCCCTTATCCCCAAAGCATTCAAGCATTAATTAAATCTTCTCACAGCCTATTGAAAACCCTATACTTTAACCACTATCCTAACTTACCCTAAAGGTAAAAACGAGACAATAAAAATCTGTAATAATCAGCAATGCAATAACGTGAATCATATACTTTCCAACCAGAATCCACACTAATCAAACGATTTGACTGTTTAAAAATGTTCCAAAAAAATGATGAATAAACAAAAGAAATTCTAGATAGAACCTACAAACTGACGATTCACCCAAAAAAAAGAGAACCAATATCTTTCAAAATAAGACATAATTACGGCACCGAAAACTAGATTGAAATATTAAATCGGAAGAAATACAAAGAGAGAGCTATTACCATCTTTGGAGCTAGGGTTTCGCCGCGATGAAGAGCAAAGTAGCCTTCTGCTGTGCTGCTGCTCCTCCCTAACCAGTCTAATGAGTATCTGGCATTAGAGGAGAATGGTATATATACCAAGCCAGTATAAAACCCTAGGATTTTGTTTTCCTTTATTTGCCGGTTTTACCCCTTCTTTGGACTATTGTATGGGCAGTAAAAAAGGAAGCGGGAGAAGGGATTTTTACTTCCGGCTGTTGAAAGAAAAAGGAAAAGGGATTTTTACTTAAATATTCGTGATTGGATTTTGGTCAAATAATTGATTTTTTTTTTTTAGGTGTATCCCGCAGGGAGTGGATCCCGCAAACTATTCACCACCTTCAGCAACTTGCTGACAGCAAGGTTCGAATCAAGGATCTAAAACTCCATTTTCAACAACCTCAACCACCAGACCAAGCCCCTGAGGGCTAATAATTGATATTTCATTAATATAAAAAAAATTTTAAATTGAGATTTATAATATAGATTAGTTAAATAAATTTAATGCATAATTAACAATATAAAATTTACTTATTAATGGTGCTTTTAAGGCCACATGTCTCCATAGAAGTATAAATTATGACTCATAATACTATTCACTAGATTGGTATGTAATATACTATATTAGTGGGTATGTAATATATAATATATTTTATTAAAATATAGAATTTGGTACTTCAACGAGTAATGAAAATTTCGAAATCGAATTTAAATATCTAAGTACAAACTATTTTAGGAATAACATTTTTTACCGAAGTTCATTTTGCCTTTTATATTTACGAAAACTATTTCAGCTTAGTATTGTTTTAATGGTATTTTTTTGGGCACCCGTTATCATATTTAAAAATCACATAATTTACTATATATATATATCTATATATTAGTAATTATTAACCTCTCTTGCATTTATATGCTTTCATTTTTAATCTTGTCTACCCTCCCGGAAAAAGTCAAAAAAAAAAAACTGCCCGGACAGAATCTACAGAAGTTTAAAAAAAAAGGCTACCTCGAGTCAATTGGTAGATTCTAGCTTTGATTGGAATCTCAAAGCTAGAAGATATGACTGATCCTTTTTTTGTGCAGTTTTTGTCTCCTATCAGGCTGTGTCAGCTCAGTAGTGGTAGTAGTTAAAAAAAAAAGGGATAATTTCAGAAACCTCCCCTGAGGTTTATGACATTTATACTGATCTCCCCTGTGGTTTGAACAATTACACTGACCCCCCTGAGGTTACTAATCCTTTGCAAATTTAGTCCAAACGATTAAAATATTGTTTTAGGAAGTGAAATTAGAATTTTGTACCAAATTTGCCCTTTGTACTACATGTCCAATGAATGACAAAATACTACAAATCAATTAATAATTAATAAACTTTAAGGAGTATAGTTTATAGGCAAATACGCATTACCTATTTAAAGTAACGGCTGTTTACGGGTATTTTACTTTCAAACATTTAATTTATGATAAATATATCAATGTTTGTAAGTAAAATTCAAAAAATGTTACAGTAATATTCTTGCAAAAAGGAAATCGGTAGGTTATTTATTTAATATAAATTAAATATTTTTTTTAAAAAAATGGCTCATAAAGTATTAATTCTTTATGGCTTTTATCCATTACATGAGTAAAGTATTGGCTTTTATGGACATTTTATTCTGAATCATTTAATTTATGTTAAATATATAAATATTTGTAACTAAAATTGAAAAAGTGTTATATTAATATTTTTACGGAAGAAAGATTGGTAGGTTTTGTATTTAATAAAAATTAAATATTTGAAAGCAAATACTAATCTGTATTTGAGCGTAAATATTTGAAATTCAAAAAATGTTACAGTAATATTCTTGCAAAAAGGAAATCGATAGGTTATTTATTTAATATAAATTAAATATTTTTTTTTAAAAAGGCTCATAAAGTATTAATTCTTTATGGCTTTCATCCATTACATGAGTAAAGTATTGGCTCTTTATGGACATTTTATTCTGAATCATTTAATTTATGCTAAATACATAAATATTTGTAACTAAAATTGAAAAAGTATTATATTAATATTTTTACGGAAGAAAGATTGGTAGGTTTTGTATTTAACAAAAATTAAATATTTAAAAGCAAATACTAATCTGTATTTGAGCGTAAATATTTGAAATTCAAAAAATGTTACAGTAATATTCTTGCAAAAAGGAAATCGATAGGTTATTTATTTAATATAAATTAAATATTTTTTTTTTTAAAAAGGCTCATAAAGTATTAATTCTTTATGGCTTTCATCCATTACATGAGTAAAGTATTGGCTCTTTATGGACATTTTATTCTGAATCATTTAATTTATGCTAAATACATAAATGTTTGGAACTAAAATTCAAAAAGTGTTATATTAATATTTTTACGGAAGAGAGATTGGTAGATTTTGTATTTAACAAAAATTAAATATTTGAAAGTAAATGCAAATCTGTATTTGAGCGTAAATATTTGTATTAAATTAAATGTTTGAAAGTAAAATTTTCGTAAAGAGTTGGTACTTTAAATAGGTAATGCGTATTTGCCTATAAACTATACTCCTTAAAGTTTATTAATTATTAATTGATTTGTAGTACTTTGTCATTTATTGGACATGTAGTACAAAGGGCAAATTTGGTACAAAATTCTAATTTCACTCCCTAAAATAATATTTTAATCGTTTGGACTAAATTTGCAAAGGATTAGTAACCTCAGGGGAGGTCAGTGTAATTATTCAAACCACAGGAGAGGTCAGTGTAAATGTCATAAACCTCAGGGGAGGTTTCTGAAATTATCCCAAAAAAAAAATTTTGCGTATGTAATCTAGCGGTTCAAATGAACGGCCAGATTTTCACCGAGGCTGCATGCTCACCTATATAATCAGGCTTGAACAAATTCACTTCACTCCGTGCTATATCTCATTTCCTCCCTTTGAATTCTGACTTT